GTCCCCCCATGTAAAAAAAAGCCCGGTCTAGGTAGGGTTAAGAACATACTCCCTTCCGTATATATTCATTACTCTGCAGGATTTTACCAATCGCATTAACGCTATAGGTATTGGTGCGCCAGCCACTTTCATTTTATGTGAATGTTATGTTTTACGTCATTTTTATGTTTACATTTGTATTATGTTTCATGAGCAGCGGATTCACACACGTACAACAAGTGCTTCCTATCTAATGCTTAAAATCCATGTGACTCTGAGTAAAATAAAAAATAAAAAAAAAACTATTGGCCAATCGTTAGGTTTTCAGGTTTGTTCAAAAAGAAAGCTGGTTTAGATATATTTAAGCGGCAATATAGAACATCAGTTACATATATATATCAGCGGTTTTTAGCCCACAGCGAGTGAAAAACTACAAATATTCACCCTTGCCATTAACTGTAAAATGTTCACATTTCGTATATAATTGGTTGAATCAATATCTCTCACTTGTTTATTGGATATATGCAAAGCTTATCGATTAATTTCAAGTCGTGAAGAATTATGTCGTAATAAATATCGTCTCACCTTTGTCTTAGAAATTTCCAAAGAAATAAATGTTACATTTAGGCAGTGGCTAATGAATACTACCTTGCCATAATAATTATCTGCTTGGGGATTATGTTATAGGAGAATGTTCGCGGAAGGATAAAGTAACAATATTTCATCAATGGAGTAAACAAAATTTTGTAAGCAATACAATACAAACAAAAAAATATACCTCCGTGTTTGTGTTGTGACGGACCAGGGTCCTGCATTGCATTACCGAGTGGATCAGCGATGTGGTGACCAGAAGCCACAGGAGTTGTACCGGCACTCGTTTGCTCATCTGTCTGTGGTTCATTCAGGATTTCATCATCGTCGATGTAGTTGTAAACTTGGCTGTCCATGTCTTCATAGCTGTGCTCATCTTCGTTCTCCATACCTGTAGTAAAGCTTAGTTCTGTCATATATGGAACGTACAAAGCACAAACATCTTTAATGACGAGGTACCGTATTATGGCCAATTGGTTTCCAGAACTTTTTGAAATATAGAAGTAAAAAAAAAAAAGAAACTTTATGTGAGTCCAAGCTATTGTTTTGTTAAACGGTAAAGGATAATTAGAAAAATCTAATCAAATATGCTAATCAATTCAGATGGTTTTTAAGAGAACATTGACACCACATGCAGTGATTATCTTATAAATGTCAATGTTAATTTAACAAAGTCATTGTTCATCGAATAGAACACGACTTGTCTGCGGATTGTGCACATAAATTAGATAGTTATATGTCATTTTTTTCAATACACAATAACAAAATGTTATAACTTACCATTGTGGACATCTTGGTCTAAAGAGGATGTCATCTTGTTACGAACTTGCTTTCTCTGGTACACTCTTCTCCTATAGAGCTTATTCTCTGTTGAGCAATTAAAGAAACAAAACAACTCAAATCTCTATTTTTTAAGTGACAAATTTGGACAATAATAACTAAATCAACGCCGGGTTCACAGGACAGACGCCGGTGTCCGGTGATGTTAAGTACTCGAATGGTAAAACTTCCCAAATCGAGCCTCAGCAACTCGCCTAGACTAATCAAGATCTCATGGCAAAAATCCCAAAGTTCAGATATAAGATGATACACTTAAAAAGACTCTGATATACAATTCGAAAAGCAATCTTTCTTTCAGTGATGAGTCTGCACTCCAGATTGAAACCGTAACGTCGCCCACGGGTAGAATTGATGATACATATTGAAGTTACATGTAGGTAGTAAAATTCTACTTGAATAAAGTAGGTGCAAAATGTACTTCATACAAATATACGTTTTATATTCTTTACTTTAAAGCAACGATTTGAACCTATAACCATTGGTTTTTAAGTCAACAAGTGCAAAACGTAACATTGGTAAATCCAATTTGCCACCTTTTGATGGATAATTCATGTAATAAACATGTAACCTTTAAGTCTTGCGTCAAAACTTTTTTATATACATGTGTTGTCAAACAATGTAGAAATATATTGTCTCGATTCTACCCACTGCAGGAGGCTAGGACTCAAAGAAACATTATCATATTATCATATATTTTCAATATTTGCCAATGTTAAAGTGTTGAAATACCTTCCGTTCCTGTCAGTGTACGTTTTATTAAAGTAGTTTTAAGTAGTTGACACAACGTATAATTCTTTCATAAATCTTTTGGACATCGGCAATATTTGTTACAGTTGACGTTTCAAGGTAGCCGTACACATGTTTACATGACGATTTGGAAAAAAGGCATTCTAGACTGTTTTGACAAAACATGTATATAAAAGAGCTATGACGCAAGGCACAAAGGTTGCATGCTTATTGCATGAATTATGAATCAATAGGTGGCAAAGGTTTTGCAATGGTTAGAGTCTCACTTGTTGACTTTGAACCTAAAGATTCTAGGTTCGAATCGTTGCTTTAAAGAAAAAACAGATGATAACTTTTCTTTTTGTATTTTGTTCTTTCTGGTAGAATATTCGTTCTTTTGCAATTAATTTCACCCGTAGGTGATGCACTGATCATTTCTCTCAGAGGTGCAGACTCATCACTGAAAGGAAGATTGTTTTTCAGATTGAATATCAGATGATATTAAAAAAAATGTATTTGAACTTTCACCGACGTGAATGCATTTGTCATGAGATCTTACCTGATCAGTCTACGCATTTAACATTGAGACTTGGTCTAAAAGTCACCATTACAGCTATTGTAGTGGTGATATAGTCATTCCTGTCAGAAGTTATTATTAAAAAAAAGATGATTTTTTAAAGTACTTATTTACTTGACGATTAGTTCAATAGAACAAGAACCTAACCAAAAGGCTGACGGTAGAAGCACCGGTGTTAGTCACAAGATGGCTTCACACCAAAACGTCAATGAAGGTAGGTTGAAATTACAATCTACTGCTATTATGTATACAAAAGGCAACACATTATTCTCTCATTTACGTGCATAGACGGCTGGCAAGCTATCATTAAAATTCACCTGGTTTTTATTATATTAACTTTATTGAATTATTATAAACCTTGCTGAATGTTGGATTGATGAAGTTACCAGGCTCGTTTTACATTTTATGATGATCAGAAATTTGTTTAGTAACCTTGGCAACTTTTCAGCCGAGTGGAAAAAGATTGTATAATTCAGAATTGAAGAATGTCCTTCCGTTAATATTATTTATTTTTACAAAGCAAATTTAGTTTAAACATTTGATTATTAAAAAAATTGTATCCAGGTACGACACTTAAGACTTGGAATTTATGTCACTTTCCTTACTTTTGAATAAAGCACTAGTTTACTATGACAAGTGTAGAAGCTTGTAAAAGCACTTTGAGATATAACGATAGTTCCACGACCTTATACCTTTGCCAAATGATGCTTACCATTATGACTGGAAAATTGTATTTTTTTTATTGATAATGCACACAAGATCCTTATTCGCAAGCATTAGATCTGATAGAGTTAATCATATTCTACAACAAATAACATTTTTATCGTGTAAAAAAGGCTAAAACTTCCAACAAACTCACTTCCAGACTATACTTACGGGTACCGAAAAGCTGAGGAGGTCAGTAAGGGTTATAAGGAGGAATCTAGCTCCCACAAGAAACAAGACGGTGATGTTTACGGGTACAAAGAACCCGAAGATGTCATCATGGGGTTTGAGGAGGAGCCTCACTCCCACGACTACGAGAAACCAGAGGACGTTTACGGGTACAAAGAGCCTGAGGAAGTACGCTTCTCATACAAGCCTAAAGGTACGCTAGTTACATCATTGAATACAGCATCAATGTAAACGCAATTGATTCAATGTATAGTCACAGAGTTCCATGACCTCATAATGTTAGCCCGTGAATGTTATTTGAGATGAGTATTCAGAACCATATTTGTACAAATCAAATTGGTAAATCATATTCCCCACCCAATATCAGCCTTAATCATTTCAAGACCTCATGAAATCCTTCTCACCTACCAAGTTTAATGTCAATCCTTTCATAACTTCTTGAGTATCGTGCTAAACCACACATTTACATGCATACAAACGCTAACACATTCTAGACGAAGGCAAGCAAACATATCTGGGGATTTATTTATCCGTGTTGTCGCAATCGCTGTCCTAGAACTAGCCTTGCTGAGAACAGAGGATTGTATCATTACCTAACTCACTAAATTACTCATTAACTCATTATATTACCGAGTACAAATGTAATAGATATTTGAACCTGCTTTTTAAAAGAAATTACAGGCAACAACATGGCAGGTTATGGGGATTATGTGCCTGGTTTACTACGACAAGACGAAAATGAAGGTAACTTTTATGGAACATGTTTGATTTCAAAGGCACGAAATACAATGGATTTGGAAAACAACATTGACATAACTGATATATTATAGCCATATATGTATATATATAGTCCTATATAGTAATAAATTTTCATATATTTATGATCCGTCTACGACAATACTAAGGTAATGAAGTCTGCTGGCTTTCTAGATAGGTACTAACATTTTACAGTAAAGGATTCCCGTGCTTGATCTCTACATGTTATCTAAATAGTTACAACTAGTTTTATTATGGGCCTTGTGTCCTTGTGACTTCGCATGACCATAAGAAATTGAGATACAATAAACAAACATAAATTATCAGGTTGCACCAGTGCTGCAAACACCTGGGGACGCCTGAAGAGCTACAAATGTCCGCGCCCCAGCCTACTCCGTGTTATCGCCGTCGTTATTGCAGTAGTCGCCTTTTTGGGAGCAGTAGCTTGTGTCCTCTTGTATCTCACCAAGGTATGCGTAACGAGATCAGCTTTTTATCTTATATTATGAGTATATAGATTAATGTCAATGTTTCTTCTGACTTGTACCATTGATAGGCGAATTCTATTATTTTAGATATTCATATTGGTTGACTCACTGTTTGACTTCAAATATTATTATATTTTCTTATATCTTGTCAAACACATATTTGCTGGTTAACCTATGGTTATTTTGATTTAGTTGTACAATTGGTTATTTATTCTTTTCATTGATAATGCAGTTTTTGTTTTTGTCAACCTCTTTCTGATTGTGATCATTTGATGTCATATTTTGTTACTCATTATTATCGTCTTCCCTGCAGGAGTCTTCAAAATATTCTGCCAGTGATAAGCACTTCCCTGCTAGCTAAAAAAGATAAAACAATGAAATGTAGTCAGTAACCGGTTGTGGCATTTCTACAGCATTATAATAAGTAACAACTATTAATACCACGATTTCATAACTTACTGTAATCATGGCAGAACCCCAAGCCCTATTCATTTGATGATACGTTTTTTTCAGCTTTTAAATGATAGATCAGAAAAGATCACACATATCACAACACTTTCAAAAGTACATCAAAAAGTACATCAGTCTGTAATCCCCAAACTTAAAGACACATACCACAGCTAAACACTGACTGTGCAATAAACTCTGATAAGTAAAAGGTATATGCAATAGGCATGGCTTTTATTGCTAAAAAAATTGGTTACATCTTTACAGCACGGTGAGACAGCAGACCCAACCGTCAAAGAGGATCGTCTACTTCAAAGTCGCATGGTATCACCTGCAATGTCAGAAATGACTCCTGCACAGGCCTGGCTGGCGACTACCCTACCAGACAACACAACTGAACTGCCACAGATGACAGACACACAGCCGGACCAGTCAACTTCGCTACCAGGAGTGATCTCAACCGACACTACGGACACATTAACCAACGTAAGTCTAACATTAAGCTCACTTCTTTATCATGGCGTCTTTTTTGCAATAAATACTTACTACGTCACTTATTGTGGTGAAGAAAAAAAACAGATGGAAAATATTTTAACGGAGCATAAACATCAACTTTCAATATCAGTCGTTTCTATTTCTTCAAGCTTGTCTAGAAGGTATGTAAAAGTACCTGTTGAGCTCTTGAATCAATAGAAACGTTATTTTCTGTTTTTTCTGTTTCCCCTACTATCATTGATCCACCACCCGTTCGCGCCAAGTCATTCGGTGACTCCATACATGGTAAGACAAGGATACATTAACTTCATGGATTGTTATTACATAAAATACATTGGATTTGAACATACTTTCCACAGAATAGAGATGTGTTCGACCAGTGACATGTGGCTGTTTATCGGTTTAAAAATGGTTTCCGCCATATGGTACCGATGCCAAAAATGATAGCCCTAATTTCCTTTAATTGTCTTCCCAGTTCCCCGTTGCAAGAACGGCTACAGGCTACTCGTCGGGACCTGCATCAAGCTCATTTCCTATCCGGGCATGAGCTGGTTGTTCGGGATGTCCCATTATGGGGCAAAAAAGGCATGCATGACGGAAGGAGCCACACTGGCCATGCCGAAAACGGAAGAACTGGACGTCGCTCTGAGACATCTGGTCAAAACGGAAGGAGGTAACAAGGAACACTGGATCGGTATGGAGGAGAAGACGGGAACCTGGTATTGGGTGGACGGGTCGAAGGTCGACAACAACGGATACACGGTATGTACCAGTACGACTTGTTCGTCGCTGATAGAGAAAATTGTGAATTTTTCACCTTTCTTCCTGGTAATATTATAAGGCCAACCGCTTTCTCAATTGTACACTTTTTTGCACCCTCGAAATAAATTTTCTGCAGGTAACATTCAGAAACTGGTAAACATGGATCATACTAGACACTGTTCAGAAACCATTGGCATTATTTCTTTATACTTTATAGTTAGTATACGAGTAAAAGTGAATGCTGCAAAGAAAAATGCACATTCACCTACATTTGTGTACTCTCGTATTATTGATAAACCCAGTTCATGGACCAGTGCAGGCTATGTGCAGGTGGACATCAGAAGTACCTGCACAGCTCCAATTTACCCTGCACATTCACCGCATATTTCGAGCCCTGACCCTCATTTTAAGGGACACACATACATGTAACCAATGAAGTGTATAAAAACGTAAGCAAAAATGTACCGAAATCAAAGTATTGCCATGCATGCAACAGTTCAGCTTTTCTCCTTTCCAATCTTTCGATATCTATACGATATATCGATATCTATAAGTCGCCCCTGTGGCACTTCAAAACTCTATTATTCTTCAAATAGGGATGGACTCCAGGCGACCGAAGTAACTCCCGATGGCCGCCCTTATGTGGACAATACTGGGAAAAGGTCAGTAATCCACGAACATGCTTTTAGTTTTGATTCGACGGAAATACCCTTTAGTACTAATACCAAATTTGAAAAATATTTTTTCTTTGAAAATGTTTCTGTTTTAGAGCTGGATATTTCATGTAATTTTTTTTCATTTTGTGAGAAAGGAGACTTTCACCCATGTTCAGGTTGTCTTAAGTAGTTGACATTTGTCGTTTATTTTTACACAAGTCACCCGGCTGGCTCTTCCCGGGGACTGGTTACGTCATGTGGAACGACGATGCCTGCTTCAAGCAGAAGAGGTTTATCTGTCAGCGTCCTCCGGCCTAAATGGTGAAATTTCTGCCTAACATTGCATCATAAAATTTCCACTAAAGATGCATTTAAGATTTTTAGCGTAGCCAGCGCTTTGAAAGCTATAGTGAGGTTTTGCGTGAGATGGGGTCAAAGACTAAAACGTGCTTTTGATGGGGGACGCTTACTGTACTGCTACCGAATTTGCTCATTGTTTCATTTTGAGACTCCTGTCGGGCTGTGTGGTCTTCTATGGATCGCCTTTGTCTATAAAACATTTTGCATATATGTTTCAATAGAACCTGCTATATGAAGTCTGTAAGATGTAGTGTTGAGTCTTATTAGCTCATCTTTAACACGCATTGCTGTGCATTCCAGTGTATATAATAATCTTATAGTAAAGAGACCAGACATTTGTTGTAACTGTAACTGTCACTGTTATTTTGGTTGGTCAACACAGACAAGTTCATGGAAATTTGAAGCGCACTTTGAACATATAGAATCTTCAATGTTACTTTTAGTGATTCTCCTTAAGAAGTTTAGCGATGCGTAATTAAGATGCAAAATTAAGCAGTAGATGACTTTACAAATGCCACATTAACCCTACCTAGACCGGGCATTTTTTGACATGGGGGGACCGGGGGGGGGGCTCTTTTGACCCCCCCCTAAGAACTCGCGAACGGTATGTCGTATGACCACCAAATTTTCAGAGAGTAGTGTACTAGTGAAAATTTATCATATCTACAATTTTTATGTCGTTATGACGAAATATGACGTCATTATGACGTCATTAATGTGATTTTATTGGCTAAAACCGTCTAAATAGGTTTTTCCCTGAAAACTAAATGGTATTCAACATAACTGTACCAAAAGTGTTTATGACAGAATATTATGGTGTACTAAGTCTTATGTTTCCCATAGCAACACCGGTGACGTCATAAAATGACGTCATGCATATTTAAGATATCCGCCATCTTGGATCATCAATCTTGAATTTTCAAAAATAGTTTTTTTTCATGATAAAGCCTAAAATACATTGTAAACATACTAAAGACCTTCATTTAAACCTTTTTTGGAAAAAGGAATGGAAGTATTGATGAAATTTTAATGAAAATAACCTGTATATACCTGTTCTAATGATATGGTCCGCCATCTTGGATTTTGTCCAATGACGTCATCAAATTAGCATAAATTATGCATATTTAACGATAAAATTTACATAAAATTATATGGGATGTTATTAATATTAGAAACCATGAGTAACTTGACATAAAACCCATAAAATTCTATTGTTGAAACAAAAAGTACTAAATTTAGCAAAAAATTCCTGTCAGAAACCCGCTGCCATGGCAACACAAAAAATTATTATCTTATTCCAATGATAG